TGACTGAATGATCAAAATCAATGTCAAAATGGCCAAAACATTCAATTTCAGTGGGGGTTGAATAATTTTGAACACAACTGTATGTATTTATTTATTCAAATTGTATGCCGCCCGCACTCTTCAAGAGTCTTCTGACCCTCAGTACATCACCAATAGCTAATATATGACATACATGAATGGATAAACCAGTCAAATTTTTGTGGTCTTATCTGTAAGACTGATAAAGTAATCTGACCACTGAGGACATTACTTTATTATGCTCCTGTAGCTCTTCATGCAATCATGGGAACAGCCTCTCCAACATCAATAGAGTAAAGTTTAGAACTGTGTTTACTGGGTTGGATCCAGACATAGCTTTGCTCTGGGAAGTCCCACTGACATCAACAGAATATATTTAAAGACATCTATTCTAAACGTGATGAAATATGCATACAAAAAGCCACTGCACATAAAGCATAAAGTACACATAGCACTGTAGCTGCGTGTAACAAAGTCCGTCTGTCCCCTCCTGCCTTGAGTATTCTGCATTCCAAAAAACAGGGGACAAAAGGCAGAGGAGTCCTTAACCTTTCACTGGAAGCCTCTCCAGTTTCAAGCTGCTTTTTATTTCATAAGATTTTATGCTAGCATTTGGGTGCAGTACACTGGCAAAAGCACAAAGAACTGGGGGAGGAGAGCTTTTGAGGTGAAGAAGCCATCAGGGAAATAGATAAGAATCCTTTACTTCCTGCAAGCGATCAAGTGCCTTCAAGGCATCATTACGTGCATCCGCAAAGCCCTATCTGCAAACTAGTATGTGCCATGCGCGTCCTACAAAACAGCAACAAACCTTGCCAAGGGTGAGCAATATGTGGAAGCAGGAGAGGTGAATTCCATAGTTCTAGACTCCAAGACTGGCTTTCCTGGGATAAATTTCAAGCTGTTTGGATTTGGAGTGTCCTGAGTCTGAATAAACATAGACCTTGCTGAAATAATAATAAAAAATAATGTATTAAAGAATGAAATGAAATAATTTGGACCCAATCTTCACAAAAGACCATCAGCTTTGCTAGGTCTGACCAAGGAGGACCCATCTAATTCAGGATGTCTCTATGTGTGCCCAGACATCACTTGACACTCAGAAAAAAAGACACCATGCCAGGCCTGTGTTATTTGTCTCTAACATCTAGTACTCAGAAGCTCATAGACACAAAAGGTGTCAGTGAGCTATTACAGCTAAAAGGCTCTGGTGGCCCCTTTTTAGATGGTCTTGCTTTACAGATGAGGTACTCTACTCCCAAACTCTTGATCTCCCTTTAAGCAAAGCTATAGCTACTCACAACACCTACTATGAAATAATTCACATATACAGTACATTATGCACTTTGTTATTAAGGAAATAACCCAGCAATTCTCTCCTGGGGTCGAATATAACATCACAAAACGTACATTACAGAAGGCACACAGTATTCTAGCATCGAAAAACAAAATAAGGGCCTGATATAAATCATATTGTAAATCATGCTTATTTTGATACTCTTGGCCAAAATTGCTCAAGAGATGCATGGAACTTTTCCTTACCCAAAGGATCTCTGAATGTGGACATTAAACAAAGCTGGTGGTGCTCAGAACTCAACTGTACTGATGGATCAGTACCAAAAAGGTTTCGCTATTGTAATAATGACGTCTTTAATTTCTGCTCTATTAGTACCTCAGTAATTTTGTCATGAGGAAATAATCTCCCAGAAAGAACCACACATTTTTTAACTTGAATCCCTCCACAGAAATGTGAATGCCAATCTGCAGGACAAGAGCAACACTCACCTGGTTGTAGTACTGCAGAGTGAGTGGGTGGCTTCTGTGGCATAGCAAAATATAGGCGTTGTTGGGTCATTGTATTAATGCTGTTTAATCCCAAGCGGCAAAAGCTCCAGAGAAAAAGATAACCATTCTTACCAAGTGTACCAAAATTTCACATTTTTTTTCACTTATGCCATAGCACCCCAAACCATCAAATACTGATGACTGATTAATGAAGGTATAACAATCCCATCCTAAATTTAGATTGTGCTCTATTATTGGTCAGTAGGCACGGACATTTCTTGATTACAACCTTCTCTCCTGCTCTTTTCTGGTCTGTTTTATGGGTAAACCTGAATTGTAAACTGAAGAAATGAATGCTTTTTTTATAAAAAAAAAGCCTATTTCTCTTAGCAACCGTTATTAATATTCTCTGAATTACTTAAAACCCATGGCTCAGCTTTTCTCATCACAAAAGCCTCCAAGTCTGGAGTTTCTGCTCCAGGATTAACAAATGTGAAAAGAGAAATCCCATCTGGTAAAACAGAATGCCTCAATGAAAAAAAAACATGTCAGAGTTGAGCTAAATCTTTATTTACTCAAATAAATATTCTTATTAATATTAATTAATTAAAATTAAATATTGAAATTATTATCTTTTATCAGTGGAAGCTAAGCTTCCTGGGGAATATATATCACACTGCAAGGCTTTCTGGATACAGAACTGCATTTCACACTCATGGTGCTCTGTAAGATACTTAGGCAAACTGCCTTGAAGGTGTCACAAGACTGTTTTCCACCTCACAGGTTTGTTAGGAGAGTCACCGAGAGGGAAGAAAATGCTGCCTGACTCTCTGAGCTCTCGCAGATCCAGTGCTAATTAACACCACTATGGGGATGGCAATCACGAGAGAGAGCCATGTGTTACAAGAGTATTACCAGGGCAAAACCAGAAAAAGTACATTTCTTTTCAGCCTTTCCTTCAGGAAAAGGCCTACGGTTCTCCACTCTGTGCTGCTCTTTCACCTTCAGGCCACAGCTGGGAGGTGCCTGGGTCACAGCCACCCAAGGGACCTCCCAGTTCATGGCTGAACCCATTCCCACCCAGGCCTTTAGCCTAAATCTGACTGGGGGTCCCAACCAGCGCAGGCAGACCCCATGAATCAAATTGGCTGCTGACGGGTGATGGCTGAATAAATCCTATTAATTTAGGAGATCTGCTCCAGTGGAGACCGGCAATGGTATTCTGATCAGTGCCTGGCTTGGCGATGGCAGGAGATACCAAGCCTGAGCCCCCTCACACGCCATGACGCTCCCTTCGATCACCTCCATCTGCCTTGGCCTCCTCTGCAGGGTTGCTATGAGGATTAAAATAAGGCAGAGGAGATCCACAAGGTGGCCTTGACCTCACGGAAGGGCAAGCAGGATTATAAACTGGGCCCCAAGGAAGAATATTAATAATTAATTAATAAACCACTACAGCACAAGGTCTGTAAAGTCAGCATGCGCAACCTTGGCACTCCAGCCCCAAATTTGGGGGCCTGTGTCTTCCACTAGGCTGCAGAAATGAGCCCGAAGGTGACCTGTCTCCTTCCTTTTGAAGGCAGTGGGATCCCTCCATCCGCTGATTCACTTCCCCACTGCCGGAAAATAGTAAATAAAAAACCCAAGAGATACATATAAATATGAAACACATATCTATATGTATTTCCAGGATGTATTTCCTAGAATAGACCCTGGAGGATACAATGTTCAGCGGTCCAGCCTTCCACGGAGGGGGAGAGCTTGGACCCGATCCCCCGAGGATACCGCGCTCATCCTGTATCGGCCTTTCTCTTCTCCGTAACCCTGTGAGGTAGGCCAGCCTGGGAGAGGGAAGCGCCCGGCTCAAAGCGAGCGTTTTAGTCATGGGGAGGGTTTTTGAACTTGCGCCTGACTGGCTTCAGCCTCGCCACGCTCGCTCGGGTCCTCTGAGGGAGAAGGAGGGAGGCCTCGGCTCTTCTTTGCCTCAGGCGGCAAGAAAGTTGGGGGCGGCAATGGCGGGGCAAGTGCCCGCTTTTAAGAGCCGGGCAGACTTCCCCGTTTCGCCTTTTCCTCTCTCCTTCCCTCTCTTTCTTCCCCCTCATCCACAGCCCGGCCAGGGACACACACACCCCTACCCTCACGGGCACCTACCGGCCGCCCAGCCCCACCGCGGCCACCCCTAGCCTTCGCGCGGCCGCCATCTTGACTCCTCTGCGCCCCGGAGGGGGAGGCTCAGGAAGGACCCCCTCGCCCGGGGTGCCCTCGGCGGCGCCTGACCAACCCTCTCGCTCCTCATTGGCCAAGCCGCCTCCGAAAGGACCGCCCTCTCCCGGGTGGTCGGCGGGCGACTGCGCGCGCAGCTCAAGTAAAAAAAAAAAACCCACTTCGGGCGGCCCCCTACTGGCTGTGGCGGGGAACTGCAGAAGCACGTCCAAGCCCCTGGGGGGAATCGAACTCCCAACCAGACGGTTAAACTGTGCAGCTGCCCGGCCAGCTGAACTACTGAACTCCGATTTGGAGGCTTCAAACACGCACCCAGTTTGGATGCTTCACATCACCATCATCGTAAACCTGCAGAGCTGGAAGGGACTCCTAAGGATAATCTGGTGGCGGGGAACTGCAGAAGCACGTCCAAGCCCCTGGGGGGAATCGAACTCCCAACCAGACGGTTAAACTGTGCAGCTGCCCGGCCAGCTGAACTACTGAACTCCGATTTGGAGGCTTCAAACACGCACCCAGTTTGGATGCTTCACATCACCATCATCGTAAACCTGCAGAGCTGGAAGGGACTCCTAAGGATAATCTGGTCCAGCCCCAGAGCTGGAAGGGACTCCTAAGGATCATCTGGTCCAGCCCGTCAAAGAGGCACAGCCGGGGAATCGAACACCCAACCTCTGCTTCTGCAGCCAGAGACCTCAGCCACGGAGCTAAGGGACACTTCCAGGTCCCTGATCTGTCATGCTTTTTTCCCTCTTTAAATCAGACCTGGGCTGGTCATTCCTCCCACGGAAGGACATCCTCAAAAGCAGGGTTTTCCGCCAGTAGCACTTCAGAGGGAGGGCTGTTCTTACTCAAGGAGGACATGCGGCCACCCTGCTCTGCCTTGGGCCGGCCTCTGTTTGAAAGTTGGCTTCCAAAAGTTCCCAAGCAAATCTGTTTAGATGTAGATGGTTGGGGGTGTGAGTTGTTGTTCCAGGGCCACTGCATTATAGGTGACAAAGCAGCATGTAACTGGTCAGAACCGTGTTGGCATTTGTACAGGGGTTTGCCTAACATTTTGCAGTCGGTTGACAAAGTGTCAGGAAAAGTTGGGGTACATGCCTGGTCACGTGTCTTGATTGCGCAGCCCTCGAGCATCTTGCCCATTAGCCACAATTAGCTGTGGCAAGTTAGAGAAATCTTCCCTGAATGCTGCCAGGACTCTGTAGTGTATAATGTTAACATATAACCAGTGTTGGTTTGGACTAAGTAGAGGATGCTGCAGGGACAGCTTGTCTCCCGAGAGTGGGGGTGTGTGTGTGCCGCACCCTGAAATTCCAGGGGTGGGGGGTGGTGGTCACAGGCAGCCTATGGCCATCCGGCTCCATTGCAAGGTAGCCAACACAAGTGAGGTCTCAACATTCCAGCCATGCTTATTAATATGTTCACAGAAAACAATAGATCGTTAAGAGTCAGCTCTCCATTTGTTCTCTAGCATTTATATAAATGCAAGCTTTGCACTCAGATGTAGGAAAATACTCCTATGAACGTGGAAAAATAGGCAACAGAGCAGGTTTCCTTGAATCAGATAGTTTTTAATAAAGCATACAAGAATTTCCAGCGCTAATATTTCTTCACAAAAGACTACAGTAACCAGAACGAAACAGCAATACTCCAGCAGGACTCCGAACAGCATAGCAAGTCAGAGAGGTATTTCTAAATATTGCTAAGTTCTGACTAGATATCAAGAGGAAGTCGGAGCAAAATCACTGGTCTCAGAAACCCCTGACTCACCATTGCACATGGAGGCAGTTCAGTATCAGCAGAGGGAAACAACAAATATACCAGCAGCCCAATCCATGTGCTCTTCTCAAGCTGCCAGTTCAGAAAAAGACAGTCCCCGTGCTGCCTTTTAGGACAATTGTCTTTATTATCAGCATTATATATATCTGCAATAGCATGTTCTTCTTCCATTCATAACTCCGTCTATGGCATAAGTATTTAGATCTATCTGCATTTCTTATAAAGAACAATCCCTTTACAAAACATACACACACACACATACACCCCAAAATGGCTGTTGAGAGATTTCCTAATATCATCACAGCTGACACATTTTATCACAATGGTCAAAATATTTCTGGATAAATGCAAACACAAAAGACATAAACCAAAATAAAAACAGAGGTGGGGGGGAGCCACCAACCCAATAAACAATGGTTTTACGGCATAACCGTTATGTGGAGTCACAACAGCTAGGTACAGATTTAGGAATGGATATATAACAAGAGAAAGAGTTACACTGCCTCAAACTACATATGAGGAAATTAGTCAGAATACCCTAAATGGCTCTGGAGGAAAACTTGCTTTAAAATCCCTAAAAACAAAACAGGAGGGGCAAAATCCAGCCAGAGACATCTTTGGTGGGAGCTGACCCTATTCTGATTATTCTATTGATTATTCCCATGCGATCGAAAGCTACCAAGTTGACGCCTATCTCTGTGATGCTATAAACCAGCATCACAAGCACAACGGGAGTCGTGCCCCGCGCGATGAGGCAGAAATAGGAAGAGAGGACATGGGACAGCTGTCAGTGGAGATGCAAGGGAGGAAACCGGGAGCCCCAATTCAGAAAACAATGGGCAGCACCCACTCCGAAGATGCAGCCCGCCCCTCCTGCTGTCCTCAGCAAATATTAACTGCATTTAAAGTGGAAATAGCATCACACAGCAAACTGAAAGATATTATCACTCACTCTTCTCTCTGGGGCTTAAATCCCTCCGTCTCCTTTGCTAGGCAAAGCATTTTGGGCACCTGAGTCATAACATTCGAGCAGGGCTCAGGCACCGCAGTGAAACGTAAGTAACAGGTTCCCTCATTTGCTTTGCCTGCTATGGCTGGGCTGAAGAGCAAGTGGAGGCAGGATCTGACCAAGAGAGGCCCCAACCATGGCCGATCTGTGTTGTGCCAAGACTGAAGCACAACCTTTAAGACATCTGTACCCAATGAATCCCCGTTGGGAGCTGCCTGCTGCTCCTGCAGGTAAGAGGAGGGACACATACCCACTGACCAAGCTATATTCTGCAAAATGTTGCCAGGACATGGTTCTTGGAAATACTGTCCTGGCAAGCGGGGGCGCTGAGGGGAGAATGGCCTAGGGGGTGCCAGTGCAAAAGGAGGAGAGGGGAGATTCCCCCACCTGGCACGCCATGGTCCCGCCAGCGCCAAGACTTTCTTCTAGCTACTCTTACCCCCAGGAGGGACCCCTGTACTGAAAATTATCCTTAGGGCGTAAGCGATGTACGTCTGGAGGGTGGAGCCACAGCCCTACACCTGATGTTTTGTGACAATCCCGCCCCCATCCACACCTGCTTCAAGAAGTGAAAGTGAAAACAGAAATCAGGTCAAATGAACCTTTCAACGTCCTGGGGTTCCTGCATTTCACTGCAGCATCGTGCAGCTAGTGCTCTGTTCTCCCTACATCCTGATTAAAAGTTGATTCATTGAACCAGCTCCTGTGGAGCAGTCTTAGCCCACAAGGGCTGATCCGGGTGCTACCAAGGTCTGGCAGGAAGAAAAAGAGGAAACTTAACATCAGCAGGTGGCCGGTTGTCACCTAAACAAAACAAGGAGGAGCTGGGTGTGAATTAAAATTTAACTCTGCTCTCCTAAAGTCTGCTACCTTTATAAAACAAAAGGAGGGCGGAAAATCCTCACATTTGTATTAGGTCAATACTGCACAGCAAAATTAGAATCATAAACCAACACTGCATTTCCGTTTTAGTGTACATCACTCTTAATTCTGTGCTTCTAGACAACCCTACGTTAAGTGCAAATCATACGCCTACGTTTCCAGGCACCAAACTGTCTGATCCAGGAATGTAGGAGAAATGAGAGGAGACACAAAATTTAAAGACACCCTCTTCCCCTGGGGCCGTGTGTGATGCATTCCCAGATTCAGAGGTGAATGGAGCAACTCAGTTACTCAAAGGAAACCTGGAGCTTCTCTGAGCTTTTAAATACAAATACAAGACAGCAGTAATGCAAGTCCTATTAGCACACTATTATTCATATGTATTTACCTTTGTGGAGTGATGTCTGATTTTTTTGTAACAGTTAAACACCTTAATAATACTAGTGGCAAGGTCATGACTGATTAGAAGTGATTGTAACAATATCATGATTTCCTTTTACAGTACACAGATCAAACCTAGAGAAGCTATTTCTCATGGTTTTTTTTAAAAAAGAGAAAAATCCCCCTCAAATTCTGTAGCAATCCAATAAAGCCAGGTCCCTTTGCTGAATGAGCAATTAATGAATCACATACACACACAAATTCACAACGGAGTAACATGGTGGGCTTCCATCAATAACTGAGTAAAGACTATATTGATCTCTTAATTCTATTCTGGAGCTATAACAGCATAAATTATTTTGCATTTCATCTTTCTCTCAAAACAGGACACTTTTGCAATATCAAAACAAATTTTAAAAAACCAAACCTTTGCCAATCTCACATAATCAAAGTAAATCTTCAAATGGATGGTGCAGGAAACGTTTCAGGAAAACATACTACAGCTCCTTAAAGGTGTGCTTCCTTGATTTAACTTATGCTTTTCGGAAAAGCTTTAGGAATCCAGCAGATACAACGGTGAACCGCCTTAACTCAAGACAGAACACTTCAGTGATGCATGCGCCATCCCGTTTTTGACAGTCGGGGTGCAAATGTCTGCACAGACACATGCTTTCAAGAATCCCACTTTCCAGACACACCGAACGGATATAATCATGATTAAACAACAGCAGTGACTCCTTCCTACTAGCTATTATTTACTGCACAGTTTTAGCAGCCAGAGCTGGCTTTGCAACAATTTTAAATACAGTAAAATTAAAAATACCAGCACCTGCTTGAGAGAGGAGGTAGGTGAGATTTCTCTGCTATCTGCCCAATTATTATTATTTTAAAATACAATCCAAAACTGCACCAGCAAACACAGTGCTTTATTTTGCCAAAAGCCGGGGGCTTCGGAGCTCATGCTTTCTGGGAAGCCCTGGACCTTCAACTTTTAGATGGAGTGATGGGTTAGGAAATGGCCTTCTGTAGATGCCGAGAGGGAGAGCCGAGTAGCTTATGGGTGTTGAGGCAGCTCAAGTAATGCATAAAAGGTGCATGTTGACATGCGTATGACCACTCTTGTGAAGCACTAAGCAGGTTCACGATTCCCCTGATGCAGATCTGTTTTACTGCAAAAGTCCATCATCTTCACTTCTTCCGCTGCAAAATAACAGGATTTCCCACATCTCTGGTTTCACTTCTGCAACATTCTGGGCCAGAAGAAGCTTGCTATTTGTCACAGGATTACATCTAAGCATCCTCCAAAGTGCAGTTACTTGTAATTGGCAGTAAAAGCAGGATACACAGATTCACACATCACATATTTCAACAACAACAAAAAAGGTGAGACCCTTGTAGCCATCTTGCCCCCTTTTAAATGAAACGCAACCGTATTCTTTTGCCAGTCTGCCCCGGACCTCCACCACCCCTAATGAAAGTTCTGCATTTACACGAGCAAAGCGCTAGTGAGTTTGTTTGAAAGTACCATCGGGAGACGTCAGTGTTGTCACAAACCATTTCTCAACATGGAGGGACTTCAAAACAGATCCTTACCAAGAAGCCACAATCCCCATTAAGCCTCCCTGCCAACTATCACGGTCGGAACGCAGGGCGGCATTTTCAGGAAAAGAGAAACAGATTTGGTTCCCAGCCAGGATTTTGCTCATGACGTTGAAATGTCCAAAGCAGAAACTCTACAGGACATTCCCTTCTCCCACGGACAAAAGACACAGCCCACTGCTCTCCCTCTAGGCAAACCCCATTAAATCAGACACAGGTTTGTGCTCCCAGCGGATCGTGCTCCATGGAGCAGACCTGTGAGTCTACCTGGACTTTACCAGGAGAGCCCATAAACCTGTCTGTCCCCCTTGACTCGGTGCCGTGCTGGCTTTGGCAGTGAGTAGACTCACTTTTCAGATGGTAGAGAAGCAGTCCAGGTCCATTTCCAAGAGTAAGAGGTAAAAATGCCTGCGTCAAGGGAACTTTCACTGACAGGAGGTTTCTGAAAGTCTGGGTCCAGCCACATCGACCAGACGAGAACATGATGGTTCCTTCCCATTAAAAAGGCACATTGCAACCAAACTGACTGCAGGCACTCAGTTTGCCATAAAGGTCTGCATTTCAGAAGGATTTCTGCCACAACGGACATTTCCTCCCCCTCCCCCACCAGCTCTGCAACACACCGGCTTCACGGATTGTCAGTCAAAGGCTAAGATTGTCCTTCATTGAACGGCCGGCGTTGAACTCCTGGGACTGTGTTTGATTGTGGATCAAGGTGTTCGTAGAACCAGATCTTCAATTCTCAGAGGGGTCCCCAAGTTTTGCTGAGGCCAGCAGGAGTCAGATAACACAACCACACCATGGCCACAGTCCTCACGGCAAAGAATAGGAGTTTTTTTAAAAAAAACAAGAGGACAAAACCCAACAGAAACCCAAAGTTTCTTTCTCCAGACACATACATAAAAAGGGTCTGCTGCATACAATTAGCTTCAAATGCATCAGAAAAAGAACTGCAGCAGACGTTTTCTTAATTAGCTTGTCGTATACAGACATTTCACTGTTAAATCCTTGACTCTCTCCACCCCCACCCCATGAGCTCATGAACAAGGGAGCAGGGACGACAACGGCTGGCCTCACCCAACATTAGCACACACCCCTGGTCCCAGTTCGCGATTCGGGTGTGTGCATTCGGTGCTGTTTCTGAAAGGGGAGTGTCCACTTACGGCCTTCCAGATCTTATACCAAACAAAGATACGTTGGGTTCACGAATGTCAAAAGCCAGAGGACGGCCAAATCCTGCTTCCCCACATATTATCTGGGATGCTGTAGAAGGGACTGATGCGGGACACACACACCCATGGACCTTTGTAGCTTTCATCCTGTTTTTAAAAGAATCCTATTATTCATGAGAAGAATTGCTCCCTGCGAGGAAATAAATAATAATTTTAGCAGTAATTATAATAACGGGGATGTTTTGCTGAAAGAGAGTTTGTCTGTGAAGACACAGGGAATGTTTTCTGGGAACATCCACTTCACACCGAAGGTCCCAGTGGACAAGGCCAGTGTTGCACACATCCCTAAGGCACACAAGCACACACCTTCTCCCGAGCCAACTGCAGAGCACGGGGGAGAGGGGGCCCCCCCCTTCAGAACCCAGCAGGCAAGGTTTCTCTGAGGCCAAATCAAAAAGGAAACCCTTAAGCCTTTTATGGAGGAAGATGGGAGCAGTGGCCCTCGACCAAGTGGGGCTATTTTATCCACCAGTTTGCCACAGGCTTTCTCCTCCCCTGATCGCCTCTGCTTCAGCAAAAGAACAAGTTTTTGCCAATTATGAATTCTAAAAAGGGGGGGAAGCTCTCACCTAAGAGAAGGTGACCACGCTTTTGTGCGACTTAGGTCTCTAGGCTTTCTGCCTTTTCCTCACCGCTTCCCAAAAGGTTGAGAATTGGTTGAAATGCTCTCCAGCCAAATCCCAAGTCCTTGGCCTTACTCGTGTGTAAACACACATAAGCCTGCAGGTCAAATGAACGAGACAACAGGTATTCCAAACATTAAACACACAAAAACAGGGCTTAGGAGTGCTAGAAGGTCATCTCAGCTGGAGACAAAAAACGGCACCCACCCACACACCCCCTACGCACACAGCAGAACCAAATGGAGGGAGCAGCCTTTTCTGCCCCTTTTGAGCTGGCCTATTACAGGCGCGCACGCGCACATACACACACAGCCATAGCACAGCCTGCAGAACCATTAAGAACATCTGTTTCAATCCCAGCAGCTACTCATGTTGGAGTAAGACTTATTAGCATCAACCAGAGAAAAAAATGCACTTAGTCCTCTCTTTCCCCGACCCCTTTTGTCTCTTGGTTGGAAAGAAGTAACTTCTCTTTTATCTGGGTCCCACTTTCCTCTCCTGGAATGATGTTCTCTATAGACGGTAGTGAATGCTAATATTAAGAGGTAATTCATTCTATTCAATATATTCATCGTATAATTACTGGCTTAAATAAGGATGCCCCCAAACGTTGGGAACCAAGAGGGTCAGGCCAGGAAAATACATTGGCTAAGAAAGAAAGAGAAGAAATTTAAAAAAAAACAAAAACTTCCACCGCCTGGCAGATAAGCGCCTGGAACCAAGAGTTTCCTAAGGGTCACAGCAAAAGGAATTTTGACATTTTGTCCAGGGATGATGGAGTGGATAGTCTCGAAAGGCTTTTTTCAGAGAGCAACCGACTCAAACCCTGTCCCCAGTGGGAGTCTCCTTATGGCTTCTTCTTTCCCAATTTAGAAGGAAAGGGTGCAGAGGCAAAGGGATCGGCGCCGGGCAGCTCTTTCGTCCTGGAAGACAGGGAGGTCACGGAAACAGACCCGGCGATGGCCTGCTTGTTGGTCTGGGAGACCACTTTGTAAGCTGCGATGGGTTGGGCGTCACTGCCGTGGCTGCCGTCGGAGTTGTAGTGACGGGAGTATTTCGCCAGCGACTGCGGACGGAAGGGGTGGCTGGCCTTCGCACCCAAAACGGCATCTTGAGGGAGGGCTTGGCCCTGGAGGATGTCATTAGGGACGCTCCCCAGCTCCTTTGAAGGAGGGCCACGGGACCCTTCGGCTGCTTTTCCAGAACAAGGGGGGACACTGGAGGGTGCAACCCATGAAGATGCGGAGAACTGACCCTGAGGGCCGGGCGTTCCCTTGCCCAGGGTCGGGAACACAGGTTTAAGCCCGTAAGCGGCCCCTCCTGGTACGGCTGGCATTTCCTTAGCCATAGGATGTGATTTTAACTCTTCCTGGCTTTTCTTTTTTGTGAACGGGGCCCGGAGGAACACATCGCCCTCGTCTGGTGGCTTAGCAAACCCGGGGCTCTTCGAGACGAAGGGGGCTTTGGCGAAAATATCCGTATCGTCAGGGAGGGCTCTGGAGCTGCGGAAAGGCGCTGTAGCAAAGACATCTCTTTCGGCTGACGTTTGTCCCGGCTGCTGTGGCAAATCGCTGAGAAGAACGTGGCCGGACGCGGTCTGGGGAAGCGGTTGTAGATCCAAGCTTCCTCGGGGAAGGCTCTCTCGCTCCGGATGTTGGGGGTTCATCCTACAAGCCTCTTCCTCCTCTTCGGAGTCCATCAGCAGAGGTCTGGACCCACTGCAATCCAAAGGATCCCCTTCGTGGTCCGTCCCTTCCCCCTCGCTGCTGTGGAAAGAGTTGTTGCTCGAAGGGCCGCCCATTGTGAAGTAGTCGGCTTCCTCTCCGCCCGGATCCAGCCCGTCCAGCATCTCAGGTGGCTTCTGGCTGTTCAGCAGGAAGCCCCTGGAAGCAGCTCCACCTTGACCATGTTCAGTGGCAACCACAAAATATACGGTCGCGTCCTCCTGAGGACCTACAAAGTACAAAGCAAAGACTTATTACTTTTCGGGCTTCAGATTTCGATCTCAGCAGAACTAAATCACAGATGCATGATGATGTTCCGTTGAAAACTAGCAGCACATATGGAAGGAGAAATATATTCAAAATTAAAATATATATATGTATAGATATATAAAGATATATGCATATATATGCAAAGATGGAACCAGGTAAGTTACATCAGACAGACGTCAACACAACTCTGCAGTTCCTCACATTTCAGAACCCCACAAAATGTGTGTTAGAGATGGAAGATGGAAGATGTTACAAATACACAGACATTCAAAGCCTCATTCAAGCCTCTGCAGAAGACCAAAGGGGAGAGAAGATAGCGGCCCAGGAAATCTCCCCAGCAGATCTTGGCGGGACAGCAAGCTTTGTTCTTAGGTTTCATGTTAGATTTCTCGGGTTAGATTTTGGTTACTTTTGCTCATCTTTCTCTTGCTGATGATCTGCTATCATATTGTTTGGATTTCCTATTGGCTATAAGCCACCCAGAGTAGTGACTTGTGTTAATAAGGCAGTACAGAAATACATGAGATAAATAACTAAGCAAGCAAGGAAGACAAGTTTCTAGCCCTCATGAATTTGGAGCGGGGAGGAAAGAAAACGGTGTGGCCAGTTTCTCCTAAGCAACAGTGGGTTCAAATGGGGTGGACACAAGCCGTAGAGAAGCATCCCTCCACTATCCTAGCCCATCGCCATAGAGTTTTCCCCCACCCCACCCTCCTCTGTCTACTGGAAGGTCTACAATTCCCACTCGTCCTCTCTCAAACCATGCAACAGCAATAACAATAACCAAAGAAAAAAATGTTTGGAGGGGAGGTGGGGGGGGAAATCAAGTTGCAGAAGCAAAATAAAATGCAGGAAATTTTGATTTAGGGGGGAACAAATGGAAACAGATACTTGCAACCTGTGTCTCTTAAGGGTTCTAGATGTTAACTGGAACATCTCGGAGCCACCAAAGTATCTTTGTGAAGGGCCATTAACTACACTGCAAAAAGATGCTTCCTCTCTTCGGAGGACTTCACTGGAGGGACCGTCAAGCACCTGGTCAGAGGGACTGCTAATTATCACTGGTGGGTGGTGGAGGAGGACTCCGCGGGGGCTGTCTTTGCTTCTCTTGAGGTCCCAACCTGATCAGTACAAGGAACAGGTCGCAGAATGACTGGCAGAATCCAGTGTCAAGTGCACAGAATTCACGGCTGCCCCTGAGTGGGCACACCTTCACACTTTTCAGCAAAGACTGGAGATCCTCAGTCATGCTTTTTTTGGGGGGGGATGACCGAGGGTCAGTGGTCCGGCTGCAGTTCCCGGCTCACAACATAAGGCAGGTGGGGGGAACTCGGCCTTCCTGCTACCTCACCACAAGAGCCGGATGTTTGTTCTTAGGGGAGGGGAGGGACCCGATGGACCACACAGACACTGATCAGAACACAAGACCGCTTACCTTCCAGGGAAGAGGAGCAGGTTAATCATGGCACTGGATTCGTGTTAGAAAGAGGACAGGAGAAAAGGTACATGTGAAAAACTAAACCATTAGGACAGACTTCATTGGGAAGGATGGGGAGAAAGCAGAATCTCCTGTAAGTTTTGGGACTCCTGCCAAGAATGTGGATATATCTGAGAACTGCAGACCCTATGGATGAGGGAGTCCAGCCCCTATCAAGGAGGCCCAGTGGGGAATCGAACTCCCAGACCTCAAACCTTGAGCTATCGAGCAGTTCCTTGCTCAGCCAAGGTTAGCTTTGCGTCAACTGTGAAGAGATCATCTTTGTAAATAGAGTTCCTGGGGGTCTGTTTCTTCTGCGTGTCCCTGATCTTTGGTGCTCTGGAGGACACAAGCTGCTTCCAGGAGAGGGTTGTCAAGGGCACTAACCATCCCCCCCCTTTCCCATGATCAAAGACAGGACTCCAGAGAGAAGCGTGAAAATCAGTTCTTTATTGAAAGACCAAGCACCTGGATACATTACACTGTAAATACAGGGCCACTGGAGAGAAAAGACGGACATGTTCATATCACACGTACAGAAGAAGGGTTTCTTCCAGAAGCCAAATTAGATAATATTCGGCAACTCTTATTTTCCCCCTATGTATTTCCAGGATACCCAGGACCGCCAGAAAGACAAACAACTGAGTCCTGAGTAATCTCTGGAGGCCAAAAAAAAAAAATGTTGAAACTGAGGCGGTCCTACTTTGGGCACATCACGAGAAGACAAGATAATAATGCGGGGAGAAGTCGAAGACAGCAGGAAAAGAGGAAGGCCAAATATAAGATGAACTGCCTCCCTAAAGGAACCCACAGGACTGAGTCTACAAGAGGTGAGCAGGGCAGGAAAGGAAGAGGAGGAGATCACTTTTCATGGGGTCACCATGAGTCAGGGGCAACTTGATGGCACATAAGACAATTCCCATTAGTTCCCTTGGAACAGTAAGTTGGCAACCCAACAAAACAAAACAAACTCCTCCAGAGGTGTAGGGGCAGATCTTGAAGCATGGCTGTTTCCTCCCCATTCCTCATAGCCATGCAGGGCAAGGAGCCTTACGCTCAGTTGATCTCACATCTATCCATCTGCCTGTCTCCATATTCTGGGAGTTGTATTTTGTATTACAACCAGAATGATTATTGTTGTTTTTTTTTAAATTGAAAGTCAGTCTTCACCAGCTCAGAAACAACAGGGAAGCCTACAGCGGAGCGGAGAAGCAGATCATGTCATGGCCCTGCTAATTAAAGCATCCCCAAACGCCAACCTGGTCAAACCTGGGTCCCCTACACCCAACTGTCTTACCCTTCCCCAGAGGCACTCTGTGTTGCATGGGGTGTAATACGGAATATTTTCAACAACATCCCTCCTTCTCTCTTTCTCTATAAAGGTTACTACAAGATTCTTCCTTGTCTTTTTTTTTTTCAAAAACAGACTGAATAGCAACATAAAGAGCAGTGCTTCTGACCATGCACTCAGTGGGTTAGGATTTTATATCTTACATAGACATTCTTGATCCTAGAATAATTTATGCTGTCCCTTCCTCTTGTGCAGCTAGAGATTGAGGATCCACCTGATGCTGCTGATGCTGCTGATAAAATACCCTCCTATGATTCCAGCAAATCCGGGTGATCTTAGATACGGAAAGCAAGGACAGCCGAAGCCTTGGGATCCTCCTTCTGGTAGCAAAGAAAAGCAAAGCAAAAATGCCCCCATATGCATTCAGCACCTCATGCAGACGTGATCTCACTTGTGCTTCTATTTCGGTCAAAAAGAGAAGAAGCTGAATTTGACTTTTTGGCTCGTGAGTCCCACGAGAAACTGGTGAGCTACGCCTGGCTTCAACAAGCTGTGTGAAGTTAAAAAGCCACGGTAATGTTATGAAAGCAGCATATGAGTGGGTGAATGAATGGCATCTGTTATTACCTGTCTCATTTTCTGCAACCTGAAATTACATTTAAACAAATTTTTACAATCCTCATAAATATTAGCCCTTGTCCAGGGACTTGAGTGTTCAAAAATGTTTGACATACAGAATCTCAGTTATTTATTTTATTTATTGGCCAGGTGGCTCTACCTTATCCCCCACATTGCCAGGTTTTACAGAACAAGTCTTGCCAAAGGGGACTTTTTACAGGCAGAGTGAATGATCTTTATAGTGACAAGGGCTAGATTACCGCCAGGACATTGCCAGCATCCTCTAATCCAGAAATACAACTTTCCCTCTTTCTAGCCATTTTATCCACTAAAACCCACTGCATACGCCCAGGCCACACAGCGTCCTGCTTTGCTTGGTGCAGAACCACCCACCCACCTCCATATCAAGGTCTAATCTTTGGCGTCAATGGGAACAGTATATAAATACAAGTGATAAACAATAAATAAATAAAGTATTGCAATCCCCCCCCCTTTCATTGCTGGCATTAAGTGTAAATTGTGTAAATCACAGAGGTAAATTTCCACAAATAAATGAGTTGCTAATTGTGTTCCACGTTGTGTGCCAGCGATACGGAATACAAGGTGACTGGAAGTAGAGTCAATTGAAGAAGAAAAAAAGATTTTAAAAAATAATTCCTGTCTCTTTTTCCAAAGGTAATCAAACCTAAGAGAGTGCAATCCTTCAAAAACTCTCACTGCTACGTGTAAGAGACTCAGGCATTCCCAGGGCAAGCAAGCAAACAGTGTTGTTTTCCTTTTGCTTTATACTGCTCAGGGATTCCCCGATCATTCAGCATACACTCCAATTGCTTTCCATACTATTTTGGACACCGAGGCACTGTATACGCCGGAGAGTGTCCATTTCCAAGAACGTGACTGATGGGGCCTTTCTGGGACAGTGAAAGAGCAGCATGGCAAACTCAAGATGGGAGAATGGAGACACCCCCACCACTGCCGCTGATCAACTGCTGGCATGCATTCCCATTGCCTTGACACCAACCCATTTACATCCAGCATTGATGACTCCAGGTGAAGCAAGTGCCTGCTCAGGATTGAAAGCGGGAACTCTCTGCACATGCTCTAGCGGCACAAAATGGCCAGCTTTTCCCTGCCCTTCTGCAGGTCTCTCCCACAAAATCCATCTCTAACAGGAAGCCCTTTCCAGGCCATTACGCCTTCCCACCCAGTTCAAACCAACACAGCACGCTCTCTCTGTCAAGCCATCCCTGTCCTTTGACCCAGACCTTAATCAGGGACATCCCAGCGGGCAGAGATGACACTCACGACAAAGTGAGCTGTGGCTGGTGGTCTATCTACCGCCCCCTACTTTCCAAGCTGCTGTGGGTCCCTGAATTGGAGGTGGTAGATATTTCAAACAAAATGAAATAGATCAATAAATGGATGATGCTCAGCTCTCAGGTTCCTCACATCTCAGCTCTCCAGCCCCGCCCCACCTCTCTCTCTCTCTCGTTTTCTCATATATAACCTGACTTCACATTCAATTAAGTGAGACCACTTCTGGCTTGCAGTGCAAGTATCTCTTGCTTTCGACTTGCAAGCACCTATGCCAGTGGAAAGCACCTTCAGCAACCCCACTGGAATCCGTAATGTGTTATTTCTCCCTATAAGCCACCTATCAAGGTTTATCTTGTAAACTGGGTCTGCCCATCACATTTCTCTGTTCCCTGGCCCACACCAGTCAAAGGCACCAGAATTCAGCCTATAAGCCTCCGGATACATGACAGGGTCTAACTGGGCCAATGCACAACAATTCTCCATAAGAACATCAGTTCTGGCCATGAAGCAATCACTGGATTTGAAACAGGCCTGCAGGTTGTTTTTTTTTTTGGGGGGGGGAGAAAGGCAGGGTACAAATATTTTAAACATTTTAATCCCTCCACCTTTATTGGACCATTAAGACACCCCCAAACAGGTGACCTTTCTAGTCATGAGGCTGGGTATTACAGAACATAGAGATGGGATGGAAGAGGGCAAAAATCATCCCAGCCTAGATGCTGAGGCATAAGGATTTGTAGTTCAACATCTCAAGATGGAACCCCCAAACTTGATTTTGCAAAATAAGCTTTTTCTTTTCTCTTTTAACTATCTAGACCCGTTGTTGACCTATCCTAAGGAAGGTTAATGGTTCCAGTAAAGATGCAGACAGAGTGCAAAACAGCATATCCTCTAGTCTAGGGTTTAGAATATATGTGTGTCTCTCTGTGAGAGAGAAGGGAAAATTGCTTCCCCTCCCCCCCCATAAATGTCCACTCATAGGACGGTCCAAAGGCCTTTGGGTGGTAGAAACATAAAATGTGGATTGCTCGTCCCCCGGCACTGCTGCAAATAAAAAGGCCATTTTTGCTGCTGCTGCTGCTGCTTAAATGCAACTCTAAAATGTGCAACCAGGAGCCCCGCCCGACCTCAAAGCAGGGAGCGCCAAGCAAGGACAATGATCTCTGCCCATCATAAAACTGAACAAGAGTTGCGGGGATAACGAGCACCACCCAATAAATGCTCAAAGCTTAGTGGGCCTATGACAATCTTAAAAAATAATAATAACAATGCAAAGAAGCCATAACCTTCAGGGATTTTTTTTTTCAAGAGGCTAAAAATCATTCCCAGAATTTAAGTCTTGCGCTGTTTATTAAATAATCTGCTACATGTGATTTCAATAGATTTTGATCAGTTCATAAACCTTAATACAGGATAAATAATTTCCCCCGTCTTATTTTGAATGAATTCCACTATTTCTGGAAAAGGGGAAAAAAGAAGAAGAAAATATCCCAACACCCGTCCCACTTCTTTCGTTAATAGCGCTACTCGCAAGCAAACACCGTCTTTTGTAACTTCCAGAACTCTTCAACAAGTTCAATTAGACTTAAAATGTTAAACATTCTTTTTCAAAAGTACTTTAATTCACTGAAATGTTCTCTTTTTTTTGGTTTCTAATATACAGCAGGTGGTTTACTTTGTTTAAAAAAATCCATTCTTTTTCTTTTTCCATATATTTTCAGTATCTGACTATACAATAACGTTCTATCTAAAGCTTTGCCCCACGTCCTCCGTGTCCCCAGACGCCTGTGCTTCAGGAATCCAAAGTCAAAAACAACCCTTTCCCGCTCACCCAACCCCTCCGAGAGAGAGAGAGAGAAAAAAATAGAAAGTTCTATCAACAATTTGACTAAGATAATTTCCATAACTTTGTCATGTAAATTAAGAAAGTGCAGCAAGAAACATGCCCATAGACATTACACATCACACATTAGCAATACTTTTGATCATGAAACGTGTAGGTAGGTTTTAGAAAGATCCAGAGAGAACTGACATGACAGTTAGGTTTTATTTACACAATTTGTTAAGCTAATTGGGAGAGGTTCGGATGGGATTCGGGAGGGGGGAAAGCTGAAGAAAAATACTCAGGGACATTGTCAAAGTCGTTCCTTCCTGCAGGAGAGGCTGAGACACCTATTGAGTTCATTCATACTTTCACACATGGGGAAACTGCACTTATTTTTTTACCAATACAGTTACATACACATACACAAAGTTAGCTTTAAGCTAAGAGTTATTCAACTACGGAATATAAGGATGGTCCCTCTCTTCAGGAAGAACCTCTCAAGGGCAACCGTTAACTTTGGGCTTGAAGACCAGAAGCCGATGAAAAGAAGTTCACTCTATCCAGGAGTTGGAGGCAACGGAGGTGGAAAGCAAAGGTAAAACCCATTCAGGTACACCTAAGCCGGAAAGTCTTCACGGGCTGACAAGGGGTGCATGCTAGTTCTACGAAGACTGAAGGACCTGGGTCATGAGCCCAGTGTTTTTTTGGGAAAGGGGAAAACAACATGGCTCCCTATTAAATGGTTAACACCATATGCAGTGAACAAGGGAGACCGGGGGGGGGGGGAAGGTGAAAAGAAAAGAGAAACCCCCCAACAACTTCACCTGGTGGAAAATCTGACATGGACATCACAATCTACAGGATCCCTCCACAGACCGTCCCCTCCATGGTACAGGTGTTGTTTTTCAAAGCCCCTCTTCAGCCGAGAGTTCACGCAAGGAAAAGGGTCTCAAAGTCATGCTTTTTTACATATTGAGATGTTTCACAAAGATTATTTTGCATGGGATAATTTCTGTAGCTTTAGTAGTACTTATTGGTTTATTTATGTAGCACAGTCCGTTCCTATGCAGATGGCAAAACAGGAGGCTAGGGAGGAAAGGGGGGGGGGCTTTCTCTACCACCACCAGCACTGCAGAGATCAAAATATCTTTGTCTGCTCAGCTCACTTCTGGCTGCAGGCGATGCCTTGGCGATGCCCAAGGCCTTCCTGAGCAGATTGCCTGCTACAAAGAGGATTCCCTCTTTCTGCAGACCTTTCCCGTCTTTAACCTTCGGACCAGGAAAAGGGTTCGCTTTGGCAGTCTCTAAACTGGGGACGGGGCTGGCAGGGAGCAAAGGGTCTCTCCCCTTTGGAGGCGTTGCTAGCGAGGATCGCCTATAGATTACATGGACCTCGTTGATGGTTAGGGTTCTGCTGGAGCTTAAGAGGGCAAATTGGCAGCATAGAGGTTAATAGATGGTAGCGCTGCCTCGGGCGTAGGCTTGGTAAAGAGAAACGCACACCAGGGCTCTAGCGGTCTGCATGGCGGATGTGCTGGAAGGAGAGGGGGCTGAGTCAATGCCAACGGCGGGCTCAACGGGCGGACCAACTCCTTCCCCTCTGCAGGGTTATTTCAAATGAAGGAAACAAAACCACAAATCACCCCACTAAAGAGTAGCTCCATTGGAAAATTAAAAAAAAGAAAGAAAGAGAGAGAGAGAGAGAGAAGGAAACCCCAAAACAACACATCGGATTTAGGTACGTTACAGGAACCGCCCCGGTTACTGAGTGACGGCTACAGGTCTATGAGCTGATCCACTAGCAGGAGAGATCTGGCTAGGTTGGGAAGGCTGGGCTCAGAGCCGCCGCTGCTGTTTCTAGAATGCCCACCTGAAAGGGTGAGAGACAGCAATTCAGTACGGAGAGCAAGAGACACCAACCCACAAGCATACAAACAAAGCCAAAAAAAGGGAGCTTGCTTTTATACCAAAGTAAATAAAGGGAGGCACACGAGCAAAGAAATTAAAATTAAAAAAAAATTAAAAGGAAGAGCAAGCTAAAGAGTAGAAGATCTACGCAGGCTCGGCTCTGTTAGAACGGCTGTCGTTGGCACCAAAAGGCTGGTGGGGTCCCCCAGATGTGGCTTCCGGGAAGGGGCCCCTCCTCTGCAAAATTAAGCCAGCTGTGCTGCACCCCGTGGTCTTTCGGTGAAACCATATCCCCGATGCACCATCTACTCCACAGAGGAACCGAGGGGTGGAGGGACAGGTCCGCAGCTTCACCCTCCCCAAAGAGTTTGATTTGGTTCTCAAAATGGTTCTGGAACATAATTAGAGGCAGCCAGAAAAAAGGCAGGACTTATGGGGGTATTGTGAAGCAGATGGTACTGAAGGCTGTCTATGGAACAGATTCCTTCCACTTGTTCTGGGTCACAGAAAACAGCAGCTGCTCCCTCAAGGGCAGGAAATGGATTGGGGCCCTGAGCCCTGCTCTTCTCCCAGTGGGACCCTCAATGGACTGAGCAGCAAGGCAAAGAGGACACCGACAGGAGAGGAGAGGGCCCCTATGTCGGGTGGGTTTCGGGCAAACAGACACTGCTTGGAGGTGACAGAGAAGACCATCTCTGGGCCAGAAAGAAGTGGGGTGCCAGAGTGCTATGGGGCACAGCAGGCTCTATGATCTGCTTCCCGCACAGGAATCCCTGCAGGAGTGCTAGCTGAACTCCTTTTGAACGGATGCTTGTTCTGCCCTCCATGGCAAAGCAGGGGATTTTAGAGTTGTTTTTAGAGATGAACACGGACCGTGTGCCAAAGAATCACCAACTCGTTCCGTGAGCACGGGGGGTGTGTGTGTGTCGTGAAGGCTAACGGGGCCTCTTTCTGTCAGTCGCTGCCACACAGGCTACAGAGGAAAAGCTGCATTGGAGACCCAAGAGGTGTGTTGATATGATGCCATAGGGCAGGGAGAGCAAAATTCTGTGCGACCAGCATCAGATTCTTGTATGGACCTATGGAAATTTAGAATCTTGCTCCTTGGTTCTAAGATCCTGAGGTCTGACACATCATTCTTCAAATTAAAAAAACAAAAACCAAAATTTAGATTTCAGAGAGGTGTTGGGAATGGCCTTTTGAAATGGCCCCCCATCACTGGCTCAGAGGTAGTTTTGTACGTTATCGGAGTGATGTGGAGAAGCTGCACCTTATAGGAGATTTTATCAAAAGACAGAGGGCTGTTCCTGTCTCCTCCAGGTTCCTGTGCCCTTATGGACAACAATTAGGCGGGAATCAAAAGTGACTCGGGGTCATCAGATACAGAAGCTGGCAATACTGCCTGGAAATCTCAAGCCCACCCTCCACCCCCCCACCCCGACTGAGTCGCTTACCTTGTGAATTTTTGGATATCAACACAGGGATGGGGTCAAACTCATCGTCTGCCACTTTTTCAGAGCCCTCAGAGATATCAAAGCCCGATATCAGGTTAGTAGCTTCTGTAGCACGGTGGGGAGGGTGGAAACAATCACAAAATAAAAAGGAGCAAAAAGATAGAACAGAGAAAGCTGGTTAGAAGGCGCCAAAACCACATTCGCTGCATGTGTTTTGTTAAAGGTTAGAAGCTAGTTTTTTTTTTAATTGCTCAGGGTGAAAAGGAAATTTACCGGGCATTCATAGAAGTTGGAAAAGGGAAGCAGGACGTAAATATGAAAAAAAAATCATTGGGGAGAGGCGGGGGGGAGAAGCAATAGAGGCAGCAATAAGCTAGACTAAATCAGAGTGAGCACTCAGTACCTCTCCTAAGAACTCCAGGCTTGTAAGAGGAAAGAAGAGGCGGCGAAGAGGCGGACAGTCTTGAGTTCTGGTCCAGAAGAAACGGTGGCCGCTATGAGACTAGCCCCTGGACAGGTGGATCGTGAGAAGTTCAACGTTCCCAAGGGGGGCAGAATTTTTGAGACAGAGACACTCTGCCACCGGTTTCAAGGCGGGCAGTTGCTCCTTGGTCTTCTCAACACAAACGCATGGTGCTGCTACACGTGCCTTCATATTGTACAACCTCACCCTTCACCCCCAAGGCAGGCTCATTCCCCCCTCCCGTGGCCCCCATGTTTGGGTGACCATTAAGTTCTGAGGCACCTTCTGACCAAGAAGGGGGTTGACTTCCTGGACATTTTATATGAAACCGGAGTGAGATCTGGAAGCAACCCGCCTTCGTAGCCTGGAAATCTGGGATGGCGGAGAACTTGGGAACCACCGCCCCCCCGGGACACAGCATCTCCGGGGCACCAGCAGCAGCCCTGGTGTGACGCATTTGCTAGCGTGAAAACCTCCTCAAGAGTAAGCCGTGCTCATGAGAGAAGTCGTCTCTCTTGTTAGTGAGAGGGACAGATCCGTCGTCAGAACAGGACACAGGGACAAAAAGTCACGGTTGAGAACAAGCGATAACCAGAACACAACCTGCGTTAACAGAACTTCTGATCGAACCCCCTACCAGATGACAACCCTTTCACGCACCTTTCTTTGCCCAGAGACGGATCGTTATCGCCACTGTAAGGAGAGTAATAAAAGGAGCCAGAGGCCTCTCAGAAGCCCTCCTTCAGAGGATGAAATTAAGCCCAATGGGGTTCATGGAACCACACGGCACACAAAGGGCAGGTCCCCCTTCTCTCTGCAGGTGATCTTTTGCAGGGAGAAGGGTTCTGTCTAAAAGGCTCAACCGCTGAGGATTTAGGGCTGCCCGCCTCTGCGTGGTGCAGAAAAGGTGGGGAGGCAAGAGAAGAGACGTCAGGGAACGCCCAAAGGTGAATCATGTCAGGCAGGGGTCCGGTTTTAAAAAATCCGTTTGCTGGAAATGAAGCTGAGCAAACGTTCACCAAGAGAGAGAGAAGCTGCCAACCACTGGGCTATAAAAATCCTAGGGAGCTAAGTCAGATGTTTGTTTTTTTCCAGAAGAGGTGAGGTTTTTTTTACTAGGATTTATGGGGAAAAGAGAGAATAGGGACTACATCTCCTGTCAAGAGAAGGCAGGAAGACCAGGAGAAATCCATGCTAGTGACCAAGGACTTAGTGGTTTAGAACTAAACCTTGCACGGATCCAAGGGGCGGCCAAGTTCCAAAAGCAGCTTCTTGCAGAGCATCTGCAACAGGGGAGATGCGCACATGATGCATTTCACTGGACAGAAGTCCACCCCAGCGTTGCTCAGCGAGCGCCGGCAGAACCACACAAATCTCGAGTCACCCATTTCCATCCTGTTTCGGGGGGGGGGCTTNGGGGGGGGGGGCCTTCCTCCTCCAGCCGTCACTTCCATTCACACAGGGACGCTGAAGGGATACTTTACCTTTGTGAGTCTGGGCTGGGACGGCTAAAGGAGCGAACTCCTCCAGAAGGTCGGCAGCAGGGTTAGAAAGCAGAGAGCAGTCAAGCAGGGAGTCTTCCCCAGAGACAGAGTCTGGTCCCAGCGGGCAAGCCACAGCAGGAGGAAAACAGCAGACAGAGAAGAGCGAGTTAGCACTGCCACGCCGGGGGGGACCGTTGACCCACCACCACCCGTCTCCTCGGCTGGGAGTTCAACAAAGGCCTCAAGACTAACTAATTGACTGCAGATTGAAAATGCAGCCTTATTCATTAATTCAGAAGCCCAGTTATTTTTTTGGGGGGGGGCTCTAGCTGACTTTATTGAAAGATATTCGCCAACAAAGAGACAGCGGGATGTAGTGACTAGGCGGTCAAAGCAGAACCTGGAAGATCCCAGACTCAACTTCCTACTGAGTTACAAAAACTCGGTTGGTGATGTTGGATGAGCCACCCATGCCCTCCATCTGTCCTACCTCACAGGCTTATTGTGAGGATAAACTGGGGAGAGAGGAAGCCTGGGATTTAAAGATAGCAACCGCACTGATTTACAAGTTTATCGCCAGGGATGGCGAAATGGAATCCAGTAACATTTCTATACATGAACGTCCCCTTCCTGCGAGCTTCCCCAGCCGCTTCGGTCACAAGCTCAATGGAATCCAGTAACATTTCTATACATGAACATCCCCTTCCTGCGAGCTTCCCTGCCCGCTTCGGTCACAAGCTCGGGAGCAAATGCTTGGTTTTGGAGGAAGTTAGGAAATGCAGCACAGATGATGGTTTGGACCCTGCTGTTCTGTGTTTCTAATTCAATTTAATGGGAGATATTCTGGACTGCCTCTTAGATGAAGCGGGTGGGGCTAGAATGTGGGGTTGTCGTTGGCCAAAATCCTCTTGCGTAAACCCTCCATACTGCCACTAATTAAAGAACTGCCATGTAAAAATATCCAATTCTACATGGACTGGAAATTAAGACTTGAGGATTTGAAGCAGGGACTCTTCGCTTCATGCTAATCTACTACTGCAGGTTAAATTATTTCACTTATACCAGAGGATTTTGACTACCTTGTATTATTTATATCTCTTACATGGGGGGGGGCAGCTTATTGATAGGGAAGGTCTACAGATTCATTTAAAATGTCAAACAAATGCTTGTTTTTGGAGGAAGTTAAGAAATGCAGCACGGATGACAGTTTGGACCCTGCTGTTCTGTGTTTCTAATTCAATTTAATGGGAGATATTCTGGACTGCCTCCTAGATGAAGCGGGTGGGGCTAGAATGTGGGGTTGTTGTTGGCCAAAATCCTCTTGCATAAACCCTCCATACTGCCACTAATTAAAGAAATGCCATGTAAAAATATCCAATTCTACATGCACTGGAAATTAAGACGTGAGGATTTGAAGCAGGGACTCTTCGCTTCATGCTAATCTACTACTGCAGGTTAAATTATTTCACTTATACCAGAGGATTTTGACTACCTTGTATTATTTATATCTCTTACATGGGGGGGGGCAGCTTATTGATAGGGAAGGTCTACAGATTCATTTAAAATGTCAAACAAATGTTATAAAGAAAGAGTGGAGGAACCCAAAGCAGGAGGGCTGCAGGCAAACCAAGCTGCCCGTTTCTTCCCAGACCGAATGAGACCATCTGAGTTCTGAGCACCCCCACCAACCTGCTCGGTTCGAAGCCAAAGAGTCTGTTTGTGAGGACACACGCTGGGGCACCGGAGCCTCGAGGCCTGGAATGAGGCTCTCAGCCGTTAAGTCAGTTTTTCCTTTCCGAAAGCATAAAAGAGCAGAGGAGAAGCCGCAGGTTAGGTAAGGTTCAACAGAGACAAGAAAGGGGCGTGTGAGAGACAGACAGAAGCCAGCAAACTTTGCAGAACTACCACTGGCAGAAACATTTCATAGCTGGATCTCACCAAAGTGAAGTTTCCTTGATATACTGTGTCAGATCCTTGGACCATTTGGGCACACCATTCGGGCTCTACGACAACTGGCAAGCAGGGGCTGTCACGCATTCTTTCCTAGTCCTATGGGGAGATTTCGGGCAGCCTCCCATCTAAAGCCTAACCAGACCCCAGCTTGCTTACTGTATTATTCTGTGTACAGTATAAAACAACACTTTTTCCTAAAATTGTTAGAGGAAAAATTGAGGGTTGTTTTATACACGGTAGTAAGGAGGGGGGGAGGGATCAAAGCGCCTTGATCCCTGCTTTCCCCCTTCACTTTTTGCAAAGAAAGTGGATGGGGAGAACACTTTCCTTGCAAGACGGTGGAGTTCACTTTTTGCAAAGAAAGTGGACAGGGAGAACACTTTCCTTGCAAGATGGTGGAGGGGGGAAATGATTCCTTCTTTCCCCCTCCACTTTCTTTGTGAAAAGCTGCTTTCCCCATCCAGTTTTTGCGAGGGGGAAAGCAAGAATCCAAGTGATTTGATCCCTGCCTTCCTCCTTCACTTTCTTGCAAAGGAAGAAATTTAGGGTTAGAAAGGGGGGTGTCTTATACATGGGGGCGTCTTATACACAGAAAAATACCAGTAGCTTTTGGAATTCAGCAAGGCTAGGTATTCAGAGTGGGAGGTGGGAAGGTTTGAGCTCAGGGCTAACTTCCTGGTCACCTCCTTGTTGAGACCAGAATACATTCCCCCTGCATGAAACGAAACACAGGCAGTTGGGTGACCATGCGCATCCCGTGTGGAGGCAGATCTCTGCCATCCCAAACCTGTCTCAGAATGCCACATTTGCAAGGTCAGTCCTTCACACATTACCGCCAACTGCAGAGGCATCACAGAGAGATTCCGTACCCCTTGAAAAGAGGGGGGATCCAATGAGTGGGGGAGAAGCATCTCCACGGATCCTTTCAATATCACCCTTGCCCAGACAAGAAGATGGGCAACCACACAGGAGAAGGAGCCCTGCCCACTTGGCTACACTGCTCCTTCACGTCTGCCACAGCACCAGAGAGATGTGGAGTGGGAGCCTGCCAACCTCTTGGTCCCTGGTTTCATCACGTGCTCGCAAACAAATTCAGAAACAGGCAAGCCATTCCCAACCCAAAAAAAAAAGAAAAAAAGAAATCTCCCTACAAAGACCCAAATGATACGGCTTCCTTAGAAGTCCTGGTTTTAACATGTTGTGAGACCTAAGTGGCTACGTTTCTTCTTCCAGCAAATAAGCAGTCCATAAGAACTCACTTCTCAAAATCATTAAAAACCATGGTCTCTGGATATTAAAAATATATGTGGGCTCTGGAATGCTTTGATCTAGAAACAAGGATGAACTTGCAGCTCACCCTCGTGAATTTTCAGTGTGACGTTCAAGACCCCTTGCCCACCCGAAAATTTGGCTCCCTCCGCCCATCACAATTTGTATCCTTCAATTCTGGTACCAACCAGCCCAGGAAGAGATGGGAAATCATGTTGACTGCAAGCTACTAGAGATGGGCACGAACCAAAAACAGGAACCAGGAAGTTTGTCAAAAAAATTGCTGGTTCGTTGGTTCATCGGTTTGTCGAACTAAACCGACACACTTTTAAAGGGATTAATCACCCGGCTACACTCCCCTTTTCCCACAGCCACGTTTCTCCCCGACTTGCCCTCGGCTGCAGGCCTGTGAGGAAAGCTAAACACGTGACATGGAAGGGGAGACATGCAGGAGGGAACACAAGAGCACAAGAGCGTTCGGGCGTTTACCATTGGCAGCATCGGCGGTGCTACCGAAGGGATCAGCGAGAGGCAGGAGGTCAGGGAGCAGAAGTGGAGGCTCAGGAGATTTGAGGCCCTCGATCAGTTTCTCTGAGGGAGGGAGGAAGCAGGAAAAGAGGAAGGGAAGGAAAAGGAGAGAAATAAAGCAAAAACAGAAAATCACGTCAGGTCATTCAAGCAGGACACAAGTTGTCAGGTGGGGCATGAGCGAACCGGGGCCACCAAGAGCTGCACCTGCAGAAGAAGCTTGCCCTGGACTCAAGAGCCCCTCCTGTGGACGCAGGTTGGCCTTGGCAAGCACGGCCCAGGTGCACCAGCCTGCCTTCCCTCACCTGAAGGATGCCGGCCAAAGGGCAGGTTGTGGCCAGGTTGGAGTTCCCTCTCCGACAGGAGATGCCCACCTTTGGGAGTAAACAGAACTCCCTTTACCTTGAAGGAGACCAGCGCCTAGGCAAGAGTGGTCCTAGCTGTGGCAGGGAGTTCCAAACACGGACCACGTTTTCCCCCCTAAACCGTCACCACCAAATCTGCTTCAAAGCCTCCTCTTTAGGGTCTTTTTGTAAGACAAGAATTTGCCCTTGTTTTCATTTTCACTCTTTCTGAAATCCGCTCTTCTTTGGTTCCTGAGGAAATGTATTGAACTGGGAAGTGGCTTCGCTTCTCTCATCCAGCCTCGAGGTCAGCTTTGTCCACGGGCGGGAATCACCTGCCACCCACACACTAACCTGGTTGTCTGGGAGTTTAAAGAAAAGGCCCCTCTCTCTCTCCTGCTCTGGAGGGCTTGGATATCTATCTGGGAGCCAAGAAGGATTAAATCCGTGAGTGTCGCCGGCATGACCTTTGAGGCAGAGAGGGAAAGGGAGGCCCGCATGCAGCTTCTGCTACCTCCCCAGGATGCAGGGGCAGACAGACCGGTTTGTCGGCCGGTACGATCTCGGAAAAAACCACACGCATGCCTTAGGTGGGGTCAGCGGTGCAACACACAGTTGGGTTAAACAGAGGCGACAATGACAACATTTCAGAAATAAGACCATATAGGCATTTGTAGCCGTCGTACATTTCCAAAAGCATCCATATAACTACTCTCAGGAGAGTCGCTGTGTTAGTTGTCTGCAAAACAGCTACACAATCTTGCAACACATTCAAGGCTAGCATTTTTTATTATTATTCTTATTGCATCCCTTTTGGTCGACTGCAGCCTACCGGGTTCAAGCCTATGGAAAGGTCGCCTCAGCGGACAAATTCTGTTATACACACCCAGCTGCAGGAGGAAATTGAAATTTGAAGTGTGGACACTGCTGATTACCATGAACGGTGGTCATTATCCAACAGAAACATGGGTGGTAACCCAGACGTGCTCACTGAGATGAGCTCATTAACACAGCCAACGATGACTTCACACACGAAATGTGTTGAGCAGCATTCATGTGCTAAAACACCCAGTTGGCCTATGAAAATAAACCCAGAACCACAGGGTTTACTCAGGCACAAAAATAGGACCAAGTTTAATTATGCACACATTAATCACATTTGCTCCATTTCATGCAGGGGGTTCTGGACACATGTGGGGATTCAGCCGCCCTCTCCGAATGCTCATGAGGTGGCTGTAAAGATTAGGGGTGAGACGGACGTAACCCTCCGGTTGGTTTTCAGCTGCAGCTTCCTTCTCTCCTCAGCGCTAGGAGTATGATGGGATTTAAACTGCATCTGGAGGGGCGCATCTTCCTGCCCTGATCAATGCTGCTTCAGACACACATGTCCAGAGTAAGGGGAACTCAGCGTCTCCCATGGCTGAAAGAGGGAGCATCTTAATGAGAGGAAGGGGTGGTGTTCGATTTGGCCGTCCACATGTCTCTTGCTAACCTCAGGGGGGTCCCCTTTCATCTGCAGTCATCACTCAAGCAATGGTGGGAAGGGATGGGTGGCAGCAATTTAAGCCATTTCTAAAGGACAGGAGATTAGAATGTTTCACATATCAGGAAAAAGAAAAGGCGTGAGCCTAGGAAAGACCATTAAAGCTTCCTTGTGAGTGGAGCAGGAAAAGCCAACATCAAGGATCATCACAAGCACAGTAAGTTCATTCCGTGACCCAGTGGAGCAGGGTAAACAGGGAGGCTGTGTTCCTCATAAGTACTCCCTCTGCTTGCACACAGGAGGGTCCAGAAACGGTCCAGAAAGAAGGAAAAAGCAACTGGAATAAACATGTAGTTTTAACACGATGCAGGCTCATGGCTCAAACATGTTTCGGTGTACAAGCCAAACCACAGGATCTTGGAGGCATTCCTGAAAGGCCAAGGCATGCTTCCCCCCACAAGCGCCTTGGTGAGATCACCCCAGTTTCAGAACTGGGCCCTGCCTGGGACGGGCCGGAGGGGTCATCACAGCTCCGGCTCAACAGGTGCCCTTCTCGCCACATGGTGCCAGGAAACGGGTCAGTCAAAGTGCGACAGCTAAGTCATGAGAGCAGGGGGGGGCCACTGGACTCACAGGTCCCTGGGCTGGGAGCCGTCTGTGATTCAGGCACCCACGCAGACCAACGTGACACCTTCCCTCCTCAGAGGGCCTTCCCCCCCGGCCCCGATTCAAGCTTTACTGGGACATGTTCCTCCATGGACAAAAAGCCCACTGGGTGTCAAGTCAGGCCTACCGTAGATGCCAAGTCTTGCACCCTGGAGAGAGAGAGTGGCGCTTGAGTCTGGTATTTCAAATCCTCTAAGTCAATCAGCTACAGTGCACGAACCCGAGAGAGAGAGAGAGAGAGAGAGGCGCTTGAGTCTGGTATTTCAAATCCCCTAAGTCAATCAGCTACAGTGCACAACACCGAGCCCATACTGTGTAAGCCCAAATGGGATGCAACGCTAGTAAAAGCCAGGAAACCTCCCC